TAATAAATTCCCTGTGTTCTGCTGAAGTTTCTTCCCTGATTTTCCTTTTTCCTTCATTTCTGTGTTGCCATCCTACATAAATTTCACAATCAAGCTGCCTGCTTTGTGAATGCTGCTGGTACCTCTGAGACTGAGGCTGATCCCAGCCCAGGAAATCTCACCCAAACAGCTGCTCCTCTGAGATCTCCACATCCAGGGCTAGATCCCAAAAAGCACTGAGCACCTCCTGCCAGATGCTCACAGTCCCCAGTAAACATTCCCATTAAGGGAGATGATGTCAAGGGAGCCACCAGTTCCTCTGCTCCAAGGCAATTACCATTTAGATTGGAATTCCCCAGAGCTGGGGAGCTTATTGGAAATTCACTCTTCTCCTATCAAAACTCAGGAGAACTTGGGCTTTTTTTCCACATGCTTCATTTGAGGACTGCTCAGTGCATTTTTTTTTCTGAAGGCTGTTCAGGAATAACAGTGAAGCTGTTTAGCAAAACCACCAGTGCTCTGCCCATCCAACCAGGCACTACATGGCAGCTTTGCTAGGGGGGAACCATGACAGCAAGATGAAGTGATTGCCCTGGACACTACAAGAGCAGGAAGACATCAAAGATCACACAAGGATGCAGGAAACAAGATAAATTTGGGACCTGGATGAGCCCCAGATAAAAATCCCTTGAGGTCCACCTCCAAGCTGGAGCTGGAGTCTGCAGCTGGAAGTTCACCTTGCAAAGCCTTTAATTTGCTCTTTATTCCCTTGATGAGCAAATCCTTCACACATTTGGCAACTAAGTGTCTTAGTTGGTTTTTTTTGGCAGCTAATAGCCAACCTACAGCTCTCCTGAGCCATCAAGGTGAACCCCCAGAGTTCACAGATCAGTAAAGTTTTGAGAGTCACACGTTTTTTTGGGTTTTGAGATGTCCACCAGCACAGCAAGAGAGCCCTGGGTGCACGTGCAGAAGATACACACCAAGAGCAAGAACCTGCCCTGCCCTGTTCTGAAGCTGGATGTGCTCTCCAAACCCTTGCTTAATGTTCCAGCAGTGCCACTGAGGTGCTCTCCACTTTGAGATGCCACTAAATACCATAAATAAAAGCAGCAAACCTATTACAAAGGCTTTATAAAGGCTATTTCAGTATTGCAAATTGCCCAGAACGTGGGGGAAACGGGAGGGGGATAAAGAATATGCAGCACCCCACGTTTAAAACCAAAGCCCAAAGAAGCAAGGAAATATTAGAGAAATAAAAATTGCTACCCTGTGAAGGACCACAGATGGCTTCTGCATGTCTCTGTTCACCAGCTGTTTCTATGGCTCTTTTGTGCAAAGGCATTAGAGGAAAACAGATGATGATTTAATGGGGAGAGTATTGGGCTGAAACAAAGGCACAAAGCTGAGATTTTCTCTTTCATGGAGAGAGATCCTTCTACCCCACCAAAGGACTGGCCTGCCCAGGGGTTGCCTAGGGAGGGGTTCTGAGTGTGTGGCTCCTGGCTGGAGCTGTAGGTGGGTGGGAGGCAGGGCCAGCTGCTCTCCTGGACAGGGACACTCACTCTTGATGCAACAGGGACTTGTCCTTCCATGGCCTGGCTGGGCTTGATGGGTTCTGTGATGCCAGTGACAAGAACACAGGGATGGCCACCCTGGTTCAGACTGAGGTCCAAAGCCATCCAGTGCTGCCTCCCTCAGCAGCCACACACAGACACACACGAGTCCTACAGCAGGTCAAGTGTCCAGAGCATGTCCTCCTACCACTGCCTCACTCCCCACCTCCAGGCCAGAGGCTTCCTGAGCCTGCTGTGGTTTCTGTTTGGCAACCCTCAAGAAGATTTCTCTTCCAGGGAGTTGTCCAGCCTCCCTGTGAGGAAGGAGCCCTCAGGAGAAGACGAGCACCTGCAGGCTCCTCACATTCAGAACCTCCTCCAGCGAGGAGTTCCACAGGTCCTACAGCACACAAAGACCTTCCAGTATTCTTTTGGTACATGGCTTCCACTGCTTTCATATGAGGGCCTCTGGTTTCATTCATTGGGAAGAAAAAAGGACCAATCAATCCCTATCTACTTGTTCTATGCAAGTCATGAGTCTGTAGACCTGGTAGTGCCTCAGCAGTTACACCACAGAGGATTTCATGTCCCAATACGTGAAGGCAGAAGGGTGACACGTTGCACTAAATTTGGCTGACTGGACAGTGGATTTTAGAAGCATTACATTAGCTTTTGGGATAGATGTCATTCATTGACACCTTCAGGTAAGGGAAGGGAGCTATTTTCCTGCTTCAGAGCATGCCAGGAGAAACAACACAGCCAGTCTTCGAGTCAAAAAGGGACGTGACCAGAGGGACACCCACGGGGAGGGAGACTGCAAGGTGCTCAAGTGTGACACAGAAACACACCTGCCTAAGCCAGGGAGGTGTCAGGCTCACACACACACACACAGAGAGATGCATGGGCAACACGACATCCAACAGAGAGCGTTGTGAGCTGGAGGAGATGAGAAGGGGTGATCTGAAACCCAGGCGAGCCGGCTGAGGGGGTGGCAGGAGGGAGTGGCTCTGGGTGCCACACGCTTGTCAGGTCCTGCTGGCCTGCTCTGTGCTGTGTTCTCTGACCCCTCCCCTCCTGCAGGGCTCTCTTCACGTGTGTGCACCTTTCCCAGATGGTTTTCACCACCCCCCTGGAGCAGCATCTGAACTAGAAGGCGAGGGAGAGAACTGCACAGAGGGCTGTGCGTGAGGAGCTGGGAATGTCTCCAGGGCTGGGCCAGTTCTGCTGCTCAGGGCCACCAGCAGCCCCAGGGCCATGCAGGAGAGCCAGCAGCTCACCCTGCTGCAGCAGGGGGCTGCCTACAGCTTGCCCTCAAGCCACGACCCTGAGCAGGAGCCCAGCCACCACCATGCCTGTGAGGTGTTCCAGGCTGGGAACGTGGGAGAAGAAGAGAAATGGAGAAGACTTTGCCACGTTTCTGGTGAGAAATGCTGAGCAATTCCATGGCAGTTTCTAGGAAGCTCTTGCACACATCTTCCCAACCACAGCTGCCTGGCTAAGCAAGGTGCCCAACGGGAGCTCCTGCTGTCCCTTTATCCCTTGACCTCTCCTTACCCTCTCACAGGCTGGGGATGTGAACCACAGGACCTCCCTACTTGGATGTGCAGTTTGTCTCCTCTTGGCAACAATCCCTTTTGCTCCCTTTCCTTTCCTCTTTTCCTTGTACCCTGCTCCAACCTGACTTCTTCAGGCTGAGTGACTTCTTTTTCAAGAGGCTTGCATGCTCCTGACCAGGCTGGGTGATAGGCTACAGGACACCCTGGGAGCTCTCCTGGATAACTCCCTGCTCATTTTTAAGTTTCAAGAGACCATTCATTTTGGTTTTACTCCATCTAGAGTTATTCCTTGTGCTCTGGCTTCAAAGATCAGAGGGGTTATCTCTGCCAGAACGACATGCCCTCACATAGCTTTAGGCAGTAGAAGGAGATTCTGTGTCTACAATATGATTTCTCCATTCCAGAACCAGAGCAAACCATGAGTGAGATACATCTCTCCCAGCACACTTTGCCCTCAACATCTCCCTCAGCCTTAGTCTGATGAAGGGGTTTGATTCCTGTCCCTTTCTTGAGGAGATATCCTGTGTGCAACAGGGTCCAAGTCTTTCCTAGACCACCTCAGTCTCTAGCACTAGGCTGAAGAAGTTAAGAGAGATGTTATTTACTTTTTAAATAGGTTTTTTTCCTCATCAGAAAGGGCACATTTCTTTCCCTAAGAAACAAGGAATGCTTGAACATTGTTGACACAAGCTCACATTAACTAGACTTCGAGGATGCATTTCTATCTAACCCCCTCCCTCCCACTTGGCCCCAGCATTTCCCAAGAGGAAAGAGCTGGCAGAAAATTCTGGTTGCTTCCTTGAGTTTGATTCAATTTTCAAAGTCCAGACAACCAAACCCTGAGTCAACCACAGCTCCAGCATCCTCACCACTCCTGGTTCCTAACAGAACAGCCCCTGTGGTGCTGGGCACCACTGCAACCCAGCGTGGAGAAGGTCAGGCAGTGCTGGGGGGCAAAAGCAAAGTGGGAAATAATATTTCCTCCCCTGAGCATACTTCTCTGTCAGGTAGGACCCCTTCTAGATGGAGATATTTTCTCTCTGGCTGTTCAGGCCCCACTGTTAGAGCAGGGGGATGGAACCCACGTGTGCAGTGAGCCAAGGACACCTGGGATTTAACTGCAGGACCCAATGCCAGCTTCATCCCCCCACTTTTGGCTTGGCTTGGCCACACAAAGGACAAGCACTGGCTCTTAAGTGTGATATTTAGTTACTACCTTTTCATCAGCATACAATGGGAAAATTCTTCCCACTCCTCCTGCCTCTTTGTCTTCTTCCTGCAGCCTCTGCTCTCTGCCTGGCTCCTGTTTCTTCCCTGTATCCAGACATGGCACAATCTTCCTGCTTCTCCCCATTTTCCTTTCCTTGAAGCATTCTCTAGCTAAATTTCCTTGAGTTTTCAATTTTCACCTTCTTTGTTCTGTCCTTTTAAAGGACAGAAGAGTCAACCTTGACTTTTTTTTTTTTGATATGTGTGTGTAGTCAGTAGTGTTCAGAGTGAACACATGCTATGCAATGGTGGGATGAGGCCAGCTTCTGTAGGAACCAAATCAGGCTGAAGGGTTTGAAAATCAGGTACCTTCTAGAGCCTGTCCCTCATTCTAGGAGATTTTAGAGCTGGAGAAAATCTGGAAGATCTACTGATGCTGCAGCTTTTGATGGAGAAGTGGGCAAATGGCTCTTTGGGTGGGAGGAGGGCAGAAGCTGTTCAACTGGGGAATGAGCTGGGAGCACTGGAGTGGGAATGAGAGAGGGAGGAGCAGATGGGTGGGGGAGTTCTGCTCTGTCTGGACGGAGCTCCTTTCTTGCTGTCATCAGAGGGACAGCCTCCCTCAGCCTCCTGCTACCCAGAGGCTCTTGACCTGCCTGTCCCTGCTGAAGCAAGGTGCTCGACAGGAGGAAGGACTTACCTGATAACTGCTGCACTGAAGGCTGGTCATGTGTGCTTAACAACTGTGCCTGAATGGTTTCTACTACCCTCTTAAAACGACGGCTTGGACCTGCGAGGAGAGAAGAGGCACAAAGGGCTGTGAGAGGAGGAGCCCAGTCTTCACACAACCCAGGCTGGAGGGGAAGGATCACGAGCACCTTCCCTTCATCTCGTCCCCAAGAGTCCCCCCAGCAGTGTATCCAAACATCCCAACATTAACAGGGACTGTGGTGTGCTGGGCTTCACAGGAGGAAGGATAGAGATAGAAAAGTTGGGGTTGGTTGGTTTGGTTGCACCCCTGGGGGGCCATGTGGCCACCCAGAAGAAAAGGGTGTTTCTGGCAGGAGAAACTAGTGGCCTCACAGTGCCCAGCAGAGACACTGAAACCTTGGAATGAAGCATGGAGAGAGCACGGGGAGATCCTTCACATCTGAGGCACAGAGCAGCCACCTCAGCACTGAGCGTGGTGGTGGCAGCTTCACCTCTTTGGGCACCTCCTTCCCTCCCAGCACTGCCATCACCACCACTTCTGCTCCTGATGTCCTCCTTGCCCCTCTCTGAGTCTTCCCCTGAGCTCCAGGCAGTCCTGCTCCTTCCCCTGGCAGAGCTCTTTGCAGACCCTTTGCCATGGTTACCTGATAAGAGTGTGAAGGTGACAGAATAGATCCCGTTCTCCTTCTGTGCCTCTCCCCCTTCTGTGTATGTTATGTCCACCTGGAACTTCACTGGCTTCTGGAAGACAGCAGGACCTCCTGTGGACTTGTATTCTGCACGGAAGCTTGTCTGGGAGATGACACTGTGACTGAGGCTTGGGATCTGAAACAGGTTGGCAGAAGGAGACAGTAGAACCAGAGCACAAAGGGAACCAGACTGCAAAGCTCAGTTTATCCAGAGTGGATAAGGTTTGCTGGGTTTGCTTCTGGGCTGGAATTTGTCAGGTAGAGAGTGTTCTTGTGAAGTGAGTAAGAGTGTAGGTTGCTTGGCACTGCAGAAGAACACACTGCTCCTGCCAGGACTGACCCAAACTCAAAGGTTGAACACCCAGCATCCTTATAAATTCACACGTTGCACAGCATCACACACTCAGTTTCTCTTTTCCTACTCATCTACTGCTTTGGAGAAAAGCCTTTTGCTGAGTGAAAACTATTAAAGGAGAGAGAAAAGTCAGTGTGATATAAGACTAGATATAAAAAAACACCTGAGCAGCCCTGTCTGATCTCACTGATGATCCTGTTTTGAGCAGGAGACTTCCTGAAGTCTTTTCCAGCCTCAACTCTTTGATGCTTCTATGATATCAAATATCAGGACATGGAGGAGATATTTGGACAAGTGCCTGGGATACCCCCAGGGAAAGCATGCCTGCAAATAAGGTACCCAAACCTCAACTCCTGCAAGCATCTAGAAGAAGGATGAGCAGCTTTTTGGTATCATCCAATAGCTGTATTTTCAGACCTGTGCTAGAATTTCATAGCTGCCCAATTTCCAAGCAGTTACCAGTCACAGTTCTTGCCAAAATTTAACATACTCTCCTTCCAGTTATTGCTTCATAAAGGACTAGATTTAAAAAAAAAAACATCAACAACAACAAACACCACCCACTTAATTTGGAAATCCTAATTTAGGAGGAAAAATGAAGCTGAGTTCTTTGAGAAGCTGACCTTAAAGACTTACTTGGCAGGCTGTGACAACAGATTTAAACCTGGAGAGGGTTGTAAAAGGTGGTTTCTAGGGTTTGTACACAGCTCAACACCACACCTCAAACCCACACACGTGGGGTTGTCCCCAGGGTCACGACACAGGCAGTGGTGCACACTGTGCCACAACATAAACCCAGCTTCCTATTGCACTCCACTTGCTCCTTGTGTGCTAAAAAGATTATGGCTGGGTTTTCTTTTTGAGGAAATTCATTGCAGCATCACAGAGATTAAAAAGCAGTGCTGTGTTTTGTGGAAAACAATATCAGCTCCACAAAGGATATAAAAAATTAAGTCTCCTCTTAATTCTACTGAAAAAAAAAAAGTCTAATTAAGTTGTCAACTACCTCGAGCTGAAAAAAATCTCTCAATTTAACTTGCCTGTGCTGACTTTTTCTTCATTGCTAGGGTTGGACCAAGCAGCAAATCACTGTCCTGACAGGGCACCAGCAGTGTGCTCTGGCTGTGCTGGATATTCCCAGCACCTGGAGACCTTCCCATGAAGGTTGAAATCTCTCCCCACCTCAGTGTTATTTCCAGTCAGAAATTCAGCCAGAATCCAGTGGAGGCTTGAATCAAGAGGCCATGTAAATGAAATCCATCCATTGAAGGATGAAGGAGCAGAGACCCTGCCCTGTAAGCCCAGGAGGCAGCTGGAGACTCACCGAGAGGAAAGCGTGGACAATATCAGCCTTGATGGAGCTTAGTGGTTTGTCCTTGATGACCACGAAAATCTGCTCTTCTTTCTCCAGGTTGATGAAGTTACCAAACCAGGATTTTTTGGCAAGCCTGATGTGATGAAAAGAAAGAGATGGTTTAGGATACTGAGTGGTATTTCTTACAAACCCCCTTGGCTAGAAAAAAATACTGGAAAACACACAAGAAAGTTTTGATGGTGATAGTATTGGTCCTAGTCAGTGGAAAATGGAGAGAGAACAAGGTTTCACTCAGTGACCACTGCTCAAATGAAGGACCACAGAGTGTAGGTCTGGCAGCACGGGTCACCAACAAGGAGGAACCAGGAGCAATGGTAACTCTTCTGACTGAGCCAAGCTACCCAGTCATCCAGCAGAGATAAAGAGCATACGAGCCAGGGGACAAATTCCTGGTTTGCCTCCATCTCTCCTTTTCTTGGGACAACATGCAGGTGCTGCTAACACAGGGATTTAAGCTCCTTCCCACCCAATTTCAACCCCGTTGGTGTTCTAGAGCCTGGAGAGCTCCTCTGCTGAAGGTGTTGGGCTGACAGTACAGTCACAGGATCTTTTCCAAGTGAGCTGTAGGTTTCACTGGACCTCCAAGGCATCAGTGAGTGAAATCCACTCCTACATAGAAGGCAGGACAGAGACTGTCCCACTCCTTAGTCCCAGTGAAGGTGTCTAGATAATGACTGAACTCCAGTCAACCTACAAAGGAACCTTCAGGACTGAACCAGAAGGTGTCAACACCATGCAAAACAACTCAGGCTTTCCACTCATGGCAGCCCAACATCATTCCTTCCATCATACAATGAAATTGCTCTGTTATTTCACATCAATCATATCAGCAAATGTTTAGCTTGGCTTATTGTTTCACCATCTCAATGCACTTTGTTTGCATCCCCTTTGAAGTTTACCAGGCTAAAGGAAAAAAACATGGGAACAGGGATGCTACTGGGGGACACCACCCAAAACCTGAAGGTAGAACCTCTGACAGGGGTGGTTTTGCTGCCAGCCAAGAGATAGAGCCAAAGAATTGCTGCACCAACCTAAATCCAGGGAAGATTCCACTGAAATCATCCTTATTCACTCAGGGCAACAAAGCTGCCAAAGGGTGAGGGGAACATGGCTTATGAGGAGTGGCTGAGGGACCTGGGGGTGCTGAGCCTGGAGAAGAGGAGGCTCAGGGGAAACCTTATCACTCTCTACAACTCTGAAAGGAGGTTGGAGTGAGGTGGGGTTGGTCCCTTCTCCCAGGTTAATAGTGATAGGTTGAGAGGAAATGGGCTCAAGTTGAGCTGGGGGAGGTTTTAATTGGATATTAGGAAGAATTTATTTCCAGAAAGACTAGTGAGGCCTTGGCCCAGGCTGCTCAGGGAGGTGCTGGAGTCCCCAGCCCTGGAGGGGTTCAAAACACATGTAGATGTGGCACTTGGGAACACGGTTTAATGGTCATGGTAGTGCTGGGTGATGGTTGGACTTGATGACCTTAGGGGTCTATTCCAACCTTAATGATTCCATGATTCTGTATTCCAGTAGGGAAGAATTCAGCATGAAAATCTCAGCAATGGGAAGTCCTTCCAGTAAGAGGCTGGAGTTTTTTGCCCCCAGAGGGCTCTCTCTAACCCCACCATGAGAAGCCCAGTGAGCCATATGGTGAGCAAAAGGCTCTCACGTGCTTTGGCAGTGCTCAGTGGAAGAAGACAACCTCTCCAGACAAGGAGAGCCATCTGCCAAAAGGATTACTACCCATCAGCTTCCCAGCAAAGCAATAAACCTCTGCAGGGAGTCATCAGTAGATTCACCTCCTGCAGCAAGGATTCAGACCCAGGCAGAGGGATGAGGGCAGAGACCAGAGAATGGAACCAGCTAGGAAACTAATTTCAAGCCCAGACCTTTGGGATTGAGAACAAAGCTTGGCCTCAGCAGTGTCCAGCACTCTGCACTCCCCACAGCCTCCAGGAATCACCCAACTGTCATCTCAGTGCCTCTTGAAGGCACTCAGCAGAAAGCCCACAACTGGAAGGCTGCTGAGCTGTGCAAATGATCATTTGCTTCTACTGACTGCAAAAATGAGAGTACAGAAAGATTCCCCCCCAATTTGGTCAACCAGTGGCCCCCACTCAATTAAAGTGGGCTGGAAAACTGTCATTCCCTAAAATATTCATAGGCAGCTGTAAGTGAGCCAGGGAGGAGCACAGGGAGCAGTAAAGAGAAAGGGCCTCTCCTTTAAATGGGTCGTTAAGGAGCTAGGGTTAGAGTGTGAAAGGAAATTACATACTAATTAGCTCATGTGTCTCACACACACCATAATGACTCACAAACCCCTGGGGAGCTGGGGCAACAGCTCCCTGCAGGGAAAGGGTCTGTGCTCAGCACTGAGTGAGGTTGTCTCAGGCTTGGCTACGTGGGCTCCTGGAGCTCAGTGTGTGTCACAGGGCCTGCAGAAGGTGTGTGTGGTTGAGTGCAGGTCTGCCCTGTCAGAAGATGGCTTTTTGGGTTTGTATTTTTGTTAATGGTTTTGTTGGCCCTTTGTTTAGAGGTCTCTTAACAAGCAGAGGTCCCAGAACATAGAAGCAGCATGGGATGGCTGAGGTTGGAAGGGATCATCTCATCCAACCCCCTGCCATGGGCAGGGACACCTCTCAACTAGACCACGTTGCTCAAGGACAATCCAATCTGGCCTTGAACACCCCCAGGGAGGGGCATCCACAGCTCTCTGGGCAACCTAGTCCAGAGTCTGGCCACCCTCAGACTGAAGAACTTCTTCCTCAGGTCCAGTCTAAACCTGCTCTCCTCCAGTTTAAACCGTTTCCCCTTCTCCTGTCACTGGACACTCTTGTGCCAAGTCCCTCTCCAGCCTTCCTGGAGGTTCCTTCAGGTACTGGAGGCAGCCCTGAGGTCCCCCTGGAGTCTTCTCTTCTCCAGGCTGAACAACCCCAGTGCCCTCAGCCCATCCTCAGAGCACAGGGAGCTTCTCTCCTGTTTCTCAACTTGGAAATGTGGTCTGGAGTCTCCAGAGTCCAGCTGGGCTCCTCTCCTCAGCCAGGTTACCTCCAGTGACACCAACCCTGGAAGATTCCCTGGCAGCCTGGGCTGCACTCCAGCCTGAAGATGGGGGGGCAGCTTTGCAGCAAAATGCCACAATAAAGGTCTCCCTTCTCTTAGGGCATGTTAAGTGCTACCAACTTGGGTTAAAATGGGTATGGATGGAGGATGCTCAGCAGCTCTAGCATCTCACAAGATCGGGCTGTAAGCAGCAAAAGAAGCATTTAAAATGAACAATCTTCCCTTGTCTTGGCAAAGCTCCTAAGGGGGAGGGAGAGAGGGGATCTGTGGGGGAGGCTGGGTGTGTAGATTACTCTAGGGACTCTAATCAGCTGTCCAGTGGATGAAAAAGCAAATAGATCAGCCTGGGAAGGGAGGCTGGTGCTTTGTTCCTTCACACTGAATTTCTCTCTGCCATAATGTTGATCCTTTGCCTCCTTCTGGGCTGTCCTGTTGCCTCCCTCCCTTCCCTCCCTGTCCCCACGTGCACGGCTCTGTAGCCTCCAGAGGTTGACCTGCTGGGCAGAAATAACACCACTTCCACCCCAGCAAAGGGAGGGTTAAAGCAGCTGGAGCTCTGTCTCTTTACATGTCATCCCCAACACATTTTCTAGGCTTTTTTTTTTCCTTTTTCCTATGAGAAAGAATAGAATAGCATCACCCAGACGTGTCAAAGTGTATTACCTAACCACCAGGCTTGCTAAATGAGCAGCAGCCTCTGCTGTAGCAGAGCAAGGACACGAATTTATCTCTCAACCCACGAGGTCAATGCAGCTCTTGATAAGGGTATCTTATTTCTTACAGAGAAGGAGAAAATACTAGGGAAAAACAAGACATGTGGAAGTGGGCACTGAGCAACACGACATCCAGCGTGAGCATATAATCCAGTTCATTATTTTTTATGACTTTTATTATGTTTACTGCAGGGTGCAGCCCAATTGGACTCATTAATTTGGCAATTATACAGAAGGAGAAACAGGGGCCTTAGGCTTTGACTTGCATCCAAACTGCCTCAAATGACAGGCACTGCTTCTCCAGAGCAGCTTCTGGAGAGTGAGTGGGAAGCAGAGAAGGCAAGAAAAGAACAAGGGGAGGGAAGGGAAGGGAAGGGAAGGTGGAAGAGAAGATGGAAGAGAAGAGAGAGAAGAGAGAGAAGAGAGAAAAGAGAGAGGAGAGAGAAGAGAGAAAAGAGAGAAAAGAGAGAGGAGAGAG